GGGTGGTAACAGATTATCCTCTCCGATCAGTACTACGCAGTGCAGAAGCATTTGGATGTGTTTCAAAGTGGGCTCTGGAACTTGGCCAGTACGATATTCAATTTCTACCCAGAACCTCAATCAAGGGACAGGTGCTTGCCGACTTTATCGCCGAATTCACAGGGGGCCTTGCCGACTTCAAATCTGATGTCGCCAACTTCAAGTCAGATGAAGTTCGACCGAAGCCGAATTGGAGGATTTATGTTGGGGACATCTGGCAGTTGTATTGTGATGGATCGTCCAATCAGCGAGGCAGTGGAGCTGGAGTTGTAATCATGACCCCCAATGGCGCAGTAATTGAGCAGGCTGTCAAGCTCGGCTTCGAAGCATCAAATAACGAAGCCGAATACAAAGCCCTTTTAGCCGGTTTGCGGGATATGCATATTCTGGGTGCTCGGCGTCTGTTTGTGTTTTGCGACTCAAAACTGGTGATTAATCAACTAATGGGGAGTACGCGGCAAGAAACGACCGTATGGCAGCCTACATGAAAACCGCCAATTCCCTGTTGGCAAAATTTGACCATCATGAGTTGAACCAGATAACACGTGATCAGAACACCCATACAGATGCCTTGGCTTGCCTAGCCTCCGCAATCAACTCAAAGATTAAACAGACCATTAAAGTAGGATTCATCCCAAAGCCAAGCATTTGCCCTTCGGAGGAAGTCCAAATCAACGTTATAGAATCTGCACCAAGTTGGATGGATCCCATTGTTGCATTCCTATCTTCTGAATAACTCCCAGAGGACAAGAAAGAAGCACACAAGATGCGAAACAAAGCCATGCGATACTACTTGGACCCGCAAGGAAGGCTTTATAAAAAGTCACTCTCTGGCCCATATTTGGAATGTGTGCACCCGGATAAAGTCGGGGAGCTTCTGATTGAAATACACGAAGGCAGTTATGGAGCCCATTCTGGCGGACGCTCTTTGGCCCATCGAACTATAACGCAGGGGTATTATTGGCCGACAATGAGAGTGGACGCTGAATGTCATGCAAAAAAGTGTGAACAATGCCAGAAATTCTCCCCGTTAAACCATCTGCTTGCTGAAGAGTTGAACTCAATCACCAGCCCTTGGCCGTTCACCTAGTGGGGGCTTGATATCGTAGGACCATTGCCGAGGGCCCCAGGGAACAAGCGATACCTGATCGTCGCAACAGATTACTTTACGAAATGGGTCGAAGCGGAGGCATTAACACACATTCGGGATGCTGATGTTAAGCGCTTTGTGTGGAGGAACATCATAACACGATTCAGCATTCTAAGAGCTCTTATCTCAGACAACGGCACCCGGTTTGATTGTGGCGTGTACCGAGAGCTGTGCAGCAAGTATGGTATCCGGCCTTACTTTTCTACGCCGGCTTACCCCTAAAGTAATGGTCAAGCCAAAGCCTCTAATAAATCCATCTTGGACGGCATCAAGAAGAGGCTGGAGAAAGCCAAAGGCAAATGGGTCAAAGAATTGCCGAGTGTACTATGGGCTCATCAAACTACACCGAAAAGATCGACAGCCAAAGGCAGATGGGTCGAAGAATTACTGAGTGTACTGTGGGCTCATCGAACTACACCGAGAAGATCGACTGGAGAAACGCCGTTTGCGCTATGCTTTGGAACCCAGGCAATCTTACCCTTGGAGATTGGCCACCCGACACTCAAGTCACAAGTCTTTGATACGGGCCGAAACAACATGATGCTGGCTTTGGATTTGATTCTAATTGAAGAACGAAGAGACCGAGCCCTTGCGTCAATGGCGCGGTACCAGCAGCAGCTGGCAAAGTCGTATAATCAACGGGTTCAGCTGCGCCGCTACATACCAGGAGAATTGGTCCTGAAGAAGGTGCTTCCAGCTGACAGGAAACCCGCCGATGGAAAATTGGGTCCTAACTGGGACGGCCCCTACCAGATTGATTCGATTGCCGGAGTAGGGGCATATCGGCTCAAAGACATGTCAGGAAGGAGTCTACCACGGCCCTGGAATTCCACGCATTTATGCAAATTTTATCATTAACCCGACTTGTGGGACATGATACTTGCTCCGAACTGTTCGCTATGTACATCTCTTTTTCTGTAATACAAAGATTCCCATTCACCTACTACAGAATCTAGTTCAAAGATGTTCCGATTAAAGCCTTCAGATTCGGAGCGCCCTTCATGGATATCACGACTGGCCAATTAAAGTCTCCGGATTCGGAGCCCCATCGGCGAATGACGTCTTTGGATCGATCAAGCCTCCGAATTCGGAGCGCCCTTCGTGGATATCACGACTGGCCAAATAAAGTTTCCGGATTCGGAGCCCCATCGACGAATGACGTCTTTGGGCCAATCAAGCCTCCGGATTCGGAGCGCCCTTCGTGGATATCACGACTGGCCAAATAAAGTCTCCAGATTCGGAGCCCCATCGGGGAATGATGTCTTTGGGCCGATCAAGCCTCCGGATTCGGAGCGCCCTTCGTGGATATCATGACTGGCCAATTAAAGTCTCCGGATTTGGAGCCCCATCGGCGAATGACGTCTTTGGGCCAATCAAGCCTCTGGATTCGGAGCGCCCTTCGTGGATATCACGACTGGCCAATTAAAGTCTCCAGATTCGGAGCTCCATCGGCGAATGACATTTTTGGGCTGATCAAGCCTTCGGATTCGGAGTCCCCTTCGTGGATATCACGACTGGCTAATTAAAGTCTCCGGATTCGGAGCCCCATTTGCGATTGACGTCTTTGGACCGATCAAGCCTCCGGATTCGGAGCGCCCTTCGTGGATATCATGACTGGCCAATTAAAGTCTTCAGATTTGGAGCCCCATCAGCGAATGACGTCTTTGGGCCGATCAAGACTCTGGATTCGGAGCGCCCTTCGTAGATATCACGATTGAAGTCTTTGGGCTGATGAACCCTTCGGGTCGTGAGTAACACAATGTCAATTAAATCAAGCCGAACAATGTCCATACAATCATCTAAAATACATTTATTCAAACATTTATATAATAAAACACATGCAATCACATGTGTGCCGAACAAAACTTATAACGAAACATTGAAAATAAAACGCTTTTTTCAACCAACCAATAATTACATAATCTTAGACGCAATCCGCGTTTGAACATTTATAACGAGTATTTTTATTCGGCGTCTCCCTCATCATCGCTCTTTTCAACTTCAAAGGCGGAAAAGGGCAAATGATCACGATGATCCATGCCACATGAGTTGAAATCGATACCCTTCGCTCGGAGAGCCTCCGCGGCCTGAAGAGCCGTGATCCAACCATGCTTAAAATCGCGATTCTCACATCGGCAGACCTCCTCAGCAAGTGTCTCTTTCGTTTTGTCGATCCCAACCTTCCGTCCATCATGGAAACCCTGCTCGTAACCCTTGGCCCTCGCATTTGCTACGGCAAACATGCCTGCCGTATCTCGGTCGGCGATGGCATGACTTAATAGCCGCTGGGTCACCCTCTCGTCCACAATCGGGTTAGACTGACCCGCCGCATGCGGATCGGGGACTTTAACCTTCCTAAGCTCTCTAAGCTCACCCTCAGCCTTTTCCGCATGAGCCTCCGCACTGCGGACCCGTTCGCCCATTTTCTCTATTTCCCGTTGCGCGGCACGCAGACGCATGCCGACTTCGTAGGCGGTGTACAGCCCCTTCATCGCCCCATGAATACCTTCTTGAAACACTTCGAAATCTCGTCATCCAACCATCGATTGTTGGACTTCCGGTGGAAAGATCTGTCGAGCGAACTCGACCGCTATACCTGGATCATTGACGATGGAATCTGCCTCAGTCATCGGTTTATTCCCGACGAACACCGCAAAACTCAATGGTCGTGGCGGCATATCTGACTCATTCCTCGGTCGTGGTCGGGGGGAGCTTCCCCGTTGATACTTCTCTCTTCGGGGTGATCTGCTTCGGCGGCTTGAAGGTTGACGTTTTTCTCCTTTCTTAGGCGTCCTTCCTCCCGTACGTGTAGGTTTGCTGTTGCAATTCATCGCAATATCTAGCTCAGCCAACGTTCGTCCCTCTCCTCTGCTGTTGAAGAACAATCTGTTTGACATTCACCCTTGCCTCAAGCTAGTTCAAATCGAGTCTGAATAAGAATAAGTGGACCCACTGGCGCGAACCCACCCCATTTGTTCGTAGGTATGCAGCGACCCCGAGGCAATTTCTCCAAACAACGGAGATTTATTAATCTAACCGGCCGAACATCTTGGCCCCATGCCGACTGATATATGCCACAGCCACTTCATGCACCGATTTTTGGCTTGTTAAAACGGCCTAATTATCTAAACGGCAATTATGAAAGAATGGCTTGAAGTCCATGTACTAGTTAGGGCAAGGGCAGATTTATTAATCTAACCGGCCAAATATCTTGGCCCATGCCGACTGATATGTGCCATAGCCGCTTCATGCACCGATTTTTGGCTTATTAAAACGGCCTAATTATCTAAACGGCAATTATGAGAGAATGCCTTGAAGTTCATGCACTGGCTGGGGTAAGGGCAAATTTATTAATCTAACCGGCCGAACATCTTGGCCCCATGCCGATTGATATGTGCCACAGCCACTTTATGCACCGATTTTTGGCTTGTTAAAACAGTCTAATTATGTAAACGACAATTATAAAAGAATGCCTTGAAGTCCATGCACTGGCTAGAGCACGGGTAGATTTATTAATCTAACTGGCCGAACATCTTGGCCCCATGCCGATTGATATGTGCCACAGCCACTTTATGCACCGATTTTTGGCTTGTTAAAACGGCCTAATTATCTAAACGGCCAAATTATCTAAATGACAATTATGGAAGAATGCCTTGAAGTCCATGTACTGGCTGGGGCAAGGGCCGATTTATTAATCTAACCGGCCGAGCATCTTGGCCCCATGCCAATTGATATGTACCACAGCCACTCCATGTACTGATTTTTGGCCATCTAAACGGCCTAATCATGTAGTCGGCAAGTATACAAAACGTTTTATTCAAAACAGCAACCAAACAATTCCGTTCATTAGTAACAACAAAGTACAAAATGAATTTTCATTAAGTAAATTGGACACAAATTGTAACTATTTTACATATGAAAATTACTAAACAAAAAGCTGTAAAAAGCTGAAAATTACATGCAAATCCTAAAACAAAAACAGAAGCCGCCCAAATTAGTCCTCGGAGTCACACTCCAGCGACTCAACATCCACTTGCTCATATGGAATTGGCATAGCCAATGTCACATTAGCAACAGCAAGGGCTTTAAGCCAGCCGTGTTTAAATCCCCGATTTTCAAATTTGGGGACTTCGTCTACATACTCATCAAGAGCAGATTTCTTCCTAGCATCGAATGCGCTGGCAGCCTTCAGGTTGACTGTTTCCTTCGCCACCTTCATCTCTTCCAACCCAGCCTCCAATTTAGAGATCGCCTCCTGGGCCAATTTAAGCGCGCCGTTGCTCGCATTCGCCCTCTTCTCGGCGACTGATCTCAATTCTTCAGCGTTGCGGGCTCTCTCCATCTTGGTCTCGACACGGGTGCCCTCAGTCTGTGCCCTACTCCTTTGGCCCTCAACCTCGGCTTGTAAACGGCCAATTACCTCGACAGCATCGTGATAGCGACGACCCATGTCGGTTATCCTCCTGACGGCCTGCAAAACAAGGAGTTAAGAACAGAATAATATTTGCGTAAAGAGAAAAGACAAAGTCCAGATATATACCAAAAGAGCCGACTGCGCGGCCAACCCAATTGCAACCAGATCAGGCTCTGCCTGAAAAGCTGCCTTGTCAGCAGGCAGTGAAACGAATGTCGCCAAGCTGAGTGCAACCGCTAGATCTTTGATTACCGAAGCATCAGAGGAGATCGGCGTATTTTTTATCTTGGGCTAAATAATAAAAGGTACAATCACATCCGACTCCTCCATACGAGGTCGTTTGTGGGCAAGGTTTTCTTCTAAGTCGGCCTCGACGTCGGCAGGGCGTTTCTCCACCCTTTGCTCAGCTTCTACACTTGCCTGCACAAAAGGTTCTGCCTCGGTACTTCCGTTCTTTGCCATCCCCTCAATAACAGGTAAGGAGGTCTGGGACTGAGACTCGGCAACCCGAATCTCCTCTGCCCTTCGCCGCGCGGCCATCCTTTCCACGTTTGCCTTCTTGGCAAGTTTAGTGAGGCTCAACCCAACCATATCTTCTGGGAACGCGCCGGGAAGGTCCTCCAGACCGTGAAAAATATCGTCGAGCGGACGGTCCTCTCACTACTAGAAATCAACTTTTTAGGGACAAATTTATTCCGTCCCTAAAAGTGTAATATTTGTTGGGAAAAACTTTTGCCAACCAATTTTCTCCGTTGCGAAATTTGTCCCAAATGGCCCGTCTGGAAAAGTCAAAAAATGACTTTTAGAGACAAAAATATATTTGATTTTGTGACCACTGAAATTTGTCTCTAAAAGTCTAATTATAATCCAGACAAAAATTAATTTTTCAGACAATAGAAATTGGTCTCTAAAAGTTTAATTTTTGAGACAAATGAAAGTGGTCTCCAAAAGTTTTAGTTTTTGGAACAAATGAAAGTGGTGTGTAAAGGTTATAATTTTTTTGAGACAACTAAAATTGGTCTCTAAAAGTTTGATATTTTTATTTTATTTTATTTATTTTTTGTAACATTACTCTAAAAATACTAGTATGAACATCAACTTATATTCCTTTCTTGATTTCTCAACAACCAAACAGAAAATATCAAACATATCACCAGACTATCTATTCATCTCCAAATTAAAATTCAACTATACGAAAAAAAAAAAAAAAAAATGCTCATCACATTCAAAGAGGCTTAATCAAAAGATATTTCAATAACAAAAAAAATACCATGCTCTGATTCGTTAGTATATAATATCTTGATTGTATACCATAAACTGACAAAGATTTCAAAAGTATCATTTCCAATTTATAAGGCTAGTGTCATAAGCATTGTTTGTAACATTCAACTATTCAATGAACAGATTGTAATTGGGGTTATATCAATCTACGTAACAAAACAACTAAACTCATCGCATCTTCTTCTCAAGGACTTCATTAAAATGGCATTCAAAATCTAGCAGAGAGCTCGCAAGTTTCAAATCGACACAAGCTTGCAGAACCTGCATAGAATAGGCCAAACTCTCAAATAGATTACAATTAAAAATTATCCAATGACAGATTAATTTAATAGATTGCAATTTAATGTGCCAATTGTAGTATCTGCAACAATCACACATAAATCTTAGTACACAAAGCCGTCCAAAATTCACTATCAATATGCAAAAGTTAACAAAGATAAAACTAAAATCCAACCCTGTGTTAGGCACAAAAAAGCAATTACTAACAATTAAACATTTAACCACTCTTCTTACCAAAAAAACAAAAAACCCCATCACTCCTTAAATATCACAAGATCAAACTGCTGATAACAGAAAAGCAATAAACACAAACCATAGGCATATCATATACCAATCAAATTATAATATAACAATCTATGGTCAAAAAATTAAACTCACTGTACAGAGTTAACAAGCGTTAGCATTGGAACTCACACTGCTATAAGGGTAGTGGGTTCTTGAAAATTTCAGTATACATATCAATCCACCATTGTAGGTGTGCTGTTAATGTGGTAGAATGCGCACAAGTAGTCACCTGCTATGCTACCTAATGCTCAACTAGACTTGCATGCCCGGTCTTGTTAGTGGAGTTACCTAGAATCGACCAACAACATAGACATGTTCATTCAATCCACGGTCAAAACAGAGACTACAATTTTTACCACAAAAATGCTATCAATAAGAAATGGAGATTTGTAGGGTCCTATACACTTTCATAAACATGTTCATTCAATTATCAGAGGACAATGCAAAAATGCACAGTTTCTTAAAACCCCAGATGTTTATGGGTATAAATTTATTTAAAAAACAGTAATCTAATTCTGAAGAGAAAATCACTTTTAATGATGATGTGCATAAATATTCATTGAAGTTGGTAATTGTTTCTATTATAGCCAACCAACCCACATTGCAGTTCAAAAGCACTCTAATTTATATTATAAGACTATTGCATTTGCCTCCTTGTCATTAGTTGCACATCATCTCCTGCAAAATAACACACCCATATACTTAAATGTACACTCACATCCATGACAACCACCAGTATAGACTAGGCCTGTAAATGGATCGGATTCAGATCGGATCTGTTAAAACTCCAACCCCACCTACAAAACCACGGCTCACCAATATTGGTCCAAGATTTTTGAGACCACAACCCAAACATCAAAATGAGTCCTCATCTTCTTAGGCCTTTGAAAATTTGGAACCTTTGGTAGCAAGAATTTTTGAGATTTTCTTAATGAGTTTCAGTGATAGTTTGTGAGGCAATCTTTCACAAAACTGACTTTCAAGTTTAATGTATCTTTCTTGCAAGGGCTTTCTGACTTTCTCTCAATCTAAATTCATGATCTAAAAATAGAGCCTAATACTACGTCCAACCCATGTTGTTCTCTAGATAAATATTCAAGAAAAGAAAAACAAAAAACAAGATTGTAGCCTGAACTTGTGCTAGGCAACATGAAATGGATTTTAAAAATAAAAAATAAAAAACGAAACATGAAATGGATAAAGCTTTGGTAAAATCTAGAACTATTAGGCAGCCGTTGTTCATCCAATGGCTAGTTGCTAGAGCAGTCACCAAAAGGCACAGTATAAGAAATGGTTAGGTACTAGCCTGAAATTATAGATTAGAACCAGTAAAAAATCCCCAGTGAGGTCTGATAGATGAATGAGGATATTAGGGAAAAGAAGACATGACATAGCTGATATTTGACTAATTATTTTCTGGGAATATTCACAACCCATTGCCAATTGAAGACTATAATGAATAATATAGTACGAGAATGCATTAAAATGAAAGGGATATTGGGTATTACCTTCAAAGGTTGAGCTGAATAAATGTAAGATGGAAAGGATCTGCCTAAAGCAATGCCCTGCCCTACCCTGCCTATACATGACAAGCATTCAGGGACTGGCATTCATTTTAAATACTTTATGAGAAGAAAAATAGATCACTGGCCACCTATTAATAAATAAGACTTACCCACGCATCCAATAAACCAGCCAACCCAAGGCCTCCCAAAAGCAATACCTAGATTTGGGTAATCACCTGAGGAAAAGAATTTTAAAAGACTTGTTTCCTTTTTCCAAAAAAAAAAAATTCCTAAAATACATGAATTCTGGTGCTCATTCGCGTATAAAAAAAATAATTAATCACATTCCATACCTCATTATCAGATATTGCCCCTGAAGGAATAGGACAATAAGGTTCATTAATAGCATCAATCTCTCTATCATACCAATCATTGAGCATCTAGAAAGGTGGGCAGAACACAAATTTAGTCATTCTATTAGGAACACATACTAATTTCCATTCATGAGAAATGTACCTGTGTATAACCAGCTTGGCATGGGCTAGACATTTTGCAAACAATTGATTTGGCAACATCTTCCAAAGTCCAATGGAAGTTTCCTGCAACATGAGCAGAAATGAACTAACAGACAGAGAGAGCATTGTGGAAGTAATATGATTATTTGAGCAAGCATACTAAGAAAGCCATCCATTAACCTCCTAAAGATAACCTCATTTGTGAGCTAACAGCCAACAACATTCTATACCTAGGAGTAGAAGAGATGCTATTAAGGCTACATTTGGATAGATATATTTTAAATGAAAGAATTTGAGCTTGAAATTTATAAATACATGAGTGATGTAGACCAGGTGGTTGTGCAGCATAATTGTAGGAATTGGACCAGTGAAATGGCATCCCAGTGATTATGAGCTTGGGCCGATACTGTCATGAATTAATCCGAAAGGCCCATGTTTTTATTGAATACAGCCCAATGATCAAAAACACTTTCTTTTTGGCCAAATTCCATCGTTTAGGCTTTTGATTCTACAAATTAACTATTTTTTAAATTTTGCTTTACCAATTACTTTGTCTACGAGTTTACATTTTTTAAATTATGGGTATTCTTAGATTAAACAAAATTATAGGTTGTTTTGCATTAATCTCACTATGCAATACTGTTTCTACACGACACACTCTTCCCCGGAGCACTAAGAGAGTTAGTTGTTGGAGTTGGATTAAAATACCTATGATATGAGTAAGAATTGAAGTAAAGATGTTTTATTATATTCCTCATTGTTTGGGAGGGGAAAGATTGGGTACACACCTAACCTTTGACATTATTCTACAACCCCAAGGTCATTGGGCCTAGTATTAACCATTGAATCAATGACCCACTTATATGTATATATCACGCTAACAGAATTTAAAATACTTTTAACATGTGAGACCAATTTTCTTTTAACAATTAAACATTTAATTAAAAAAAGTCAACTAATTTTCAAGCTAATAACGTACAAAAATAAAAAAAAATTCTATGAGCATTATAGCCAATTTTTTACTTACATTTTGTCCTACCAAAACTCCACCCTTACATTTGGATTTTATCCTCCTAAGGAAAGAAATGGGGAAAATTTTTGGGATCGCTTTAAATGCTAAATTCACCATTTTGGAACGGAAGTTCACTGTGTTTCAAAATGTCCATTCCAAAACATAGATCTCTAGGGTGTTAACATTTTCTAGTAGCACTGCCTTAATTAATTTGAGCTGATTATGATAATGTGCCTAATGCCTCTGCAATACCACTATGGCTCCATTCTCCACAAAATAGGATATTGTAGAACTTTCTTTCACATACAGTTTTCACTGTTCTCTCACATCCTCATTTTTAATCAAAATCTATTTTAATCTACTTGCAAACACATATCGTGCTTCTTCCCTAGCCGGTTCAATTTAGCAGATATTTTACCAAAAGAACCTAAAACAATAATTCACATATTGATACTACAAAAAGTTTTAAGAACATAAATAGGCCTTTGAGCTTATACAATATACAATATATATGAGTTCTCTCTACCATCCTTGATTGCCTGAAGCTTAAAAATAAATAAAATTGAAAATTTCAGACTCCAATTAAATATCTAGGTAATAAAATAGATCCAAATTAACTAATGATTATTGTTAAAGCTTTAATGATGTTCAGAGTTATGAGGCAACGAAATAAGCTACCCCATGAATAAGAAAGTGCACATTTAGCCCTCAAAATGTTGATCCTCAAACTCAACAGCAAATGAGTTTCATGATACAAAAGTTCATAAAAAAAATATAAAAAAAAAGGTCAAAAACAAGCAATAGCAGGAATTCTTTATCAGAAGATAACAATAGATCATGCCTGGAAGTAGAGGACAAGATTGGAATTGTGAAATATGTGTGGAGAAATGGAATAAAGATGAAAGATTCTGCCAGGGCAACCACCATATGCAAATAAAAATATAACAACATATAAACCTCAATATTCAAATATTCAGTGATCTACTCCCAACTGACCCAGGATTAGAAATAAGCAACAACAGGATGTCTTAGCTTCTTCAAAGGCGCAACAGTTGAAAATGAACAATTGACTATTAAATTAATCTCTCAATAAAACAGTAGATAAAATATTATGTGATGGCACACACAATAGTTTGCACATGATCAATTTTTTTTTCCCCAGAGAAATAAGATTTTGAAACGTATGATTGAATTATCAAAATTTGAAAATTGATACATTTTATGAATTAAAAAGACTAACAGTTAAAAGGTTTGAAAAAAAAAATTTAATGGCATAACTACTCGTGTAATTACTATTGGAATATTTTTTAAAAAATCTAAAAAGTGAGACATTAACACTAACTTTAGCCTTTGTATAAATATATGCAAAGAGGAATTGGTAGAGTTAATGGGGGCAACATTCGTCTTCTTGATTAACACATTTACAAATTCCCACTGCCAGACTAGGAAACAAGTTTTGAAGCAAACCAATTTAAATTTCTAATCTGCACAACAGTGTTTATTTGACAAAAAAAACTACCCCCCCAATTGATAGACAAACCCGACCCTCTTTCTTGGAGTCTACCTGATGTCATTGGTGTAGTCCTGACAACAACACAACAAGGTACCACAAGTTTCAGTTTGTCATCCTTCCTGTGAAAAGATAGACAACCGTCACACAAACAGGATCAATGACTCAGTATAGTCATCTAAACTTCAGCTGAGAAAATTATGGCAAATAAGATAATACATGCTATCATAAGATAATTTTTGTTTTCACCAAACTAAACAGATTTTGAAAACTGCTCAACCAAACAAAGCCGTTAACTTATTATGATTAAGACTAAAAGACAAATCAGGAATTCAATATTACTTTCAAAACGAAGTAATTTTGAATCAAACACTCAGAAATATAAATTTTGTGACAAATGCAAAACGAATCAAACACTCACAAATATAAATTTTGCATTTGTCTCTCTCTCCACAATTACGGCTATTTCATATCCACAATTACTGAATCTAACACTCACAAATACGAATTAAAAATGAATCATATTATGATAATACATCATCAACACAAACACTGCATCGATAAATCGATTAATCACACTGGAAGCTGAAATCAAAAACCAAATCAATGAGACTGAAATCGATTAATCGATCGAACCTGGATGCTGAAATCACAATGGAGAGAGATGCTATGTTATCCCTTAATTGTTGACATCAACGAGATCAGAAGAACACTACGATCAGTTTGTGCTCACAGCCATCAGGGATTCGATCGCGAGAGAGAGGGATTGAAATCAAAAAAACCACTGAGAACAATGAAATTAGGGCTTCGATAGAGAGAGAGAGAGAGAGAGAGAGAGATTGGTGTGGAGAAGGAAATGAAGTCCCAACTATTGAAATTGAAAGAATGAAAATAAAATAAAATAATGTATGAGTTGAGTTTATTGGGAGCGAATCAAAATTGTAGGCAAAAAGTCATTTAACTCTTTTGCAACTAAATAATTTTGTCTTAAAAATATAATAATATGATTATTTTATTTTATTTTTAAATCCTTTCATTTTGTTTCTAAAAGTATAATTTTTACAGACAAATTATTTTTGTCTCTAAAAATTTGTCTTTAAAACCTTAATTTCTTGTAGTGAACAACCATGCCTTTGTATTGTGAGTTGTGTGGATGTTGCTCGCATTGTAGTATCATTCCACTGTTGGAAATTATTCGAAGACATCAAAGGAGGCACGTGATTCACCCACGTGATTCATGGATTCGGTTTGAGCGTAAAAAGTATGCTGAATCTATTTATTTTCGCTGTGTATTATTTCTTATTTTTCCTACAACTATAATGAAGGTACCCTACCACACATTAAAGTGAATCTCCATGGCACATTAATTTTTTTGGAAATTTTTATGTGTAAGTATTGTTGTTTTAAAAAACCCTATAAACTATTTGGTTTAAAAAAAAAATACTCGTCATTTTTATATGACATTCTTTTGGGATGAATTTTTTTAAAAAAAATTTAAAATATTTTTTTGGTATTTATTTTCATCCAACTAGTTTCTATTTTTTGAAAGGACAAAAAAAAATGCAAATTAGTAAAACTCAAACAAATAAAGTGGTGAAGCTTGAAAAAAGTAGTTTGAAGAACGGTAGAAAATGAAGCATATGTTACAAATTTAAATTTAGCATGATGCAGGTTAAACTTAGAATAAATTTGGTTTACGCATTCATTTTTTGATGACTTTCAAGGTTACTATGCAACTATATCTGTCTAGTTCTATTACAAATACAAAAACCAATCACAAAACCGAATACAAAATAAACATAAATGAAAAGATTTTATGGATTTTGCAAAACAAATTCACTTTTCCAATATTCCAAATAGCATGTTGTTAATCCTTTTTGTTGTAACATCTGCATGACAGTAATTATGTGAACCCCTTCATCATTGAACTCTAATTCTAGTTGTTAAATTTAACATTTGAAAATTGAATGAGTCAACCAAGTGGTCACACATTATATATAGAATTATGCAAAAAAAAATGGTATCACTTTAATTTAATAAACCTCCTTTCACTTTATCCAGGATAATAGAAGCAACCATTTATTTTGATCCTCCCTCTCCTTTAGATGTGAAATAAGGAAAATCTGTCCTTGAATATAAAGAGAAGGGATTTGTTTTGGCCCTCATTAATTGGCTGGCTAAATGAACTTGTTTCTTCAACAAAATACTAATTAATGGGAATGATGAGCCAAGCTGTGATAGTATTCAGAAAGCCACTTTGTTATGATATTGATCTCTCTTCTTCTCACATCTAGAAGCCATTCTGGATCTTCACTTGTTGAGAACCTAAGGTCCACATGGTGTGCCCCTGTTGTTGTCATGTTGCAAAATAGCTTTAGCATTTGTGCTGTAGTATTTTTAGGTACACATAATTAAATCACAAAGAAATACCTAAAATATTTGCATGGATAAAATTAAACCATAGAAAAATACGTTGACACTATGTGAATGTTCTTGGTTTTTTAAAAAAATTAATATTTTAGAGACAAAAGTTTAGGAATAAAATCAAATTTTAGCAACGAACTGAACAATTAACAATTAATTACTATCCTTTGGGGATATAAATAAATAAATAAATAAAAATTTCTAAAAAAAGTAAATCTTTTTTTAACCAAATTATTTTCTCCTTAAAAGTATTTATTCGAAAAAAATTCAAAATTTTGTCGCTAAAAGTTTTTTTTAAAAACTTTTTGAAACGACGTTTTAACTACGACTAGAATTGGTCCCCTAATATTTTTTTCAACAAAATTTCACTTTAAAAAAAATTAAATAAAAACAATTGATTCATATAACCCTTTTACGTTGTAGTGATAATTCTATGTACTTATCTTTTCCAGATGGGCATAAGAATGAAACAATTAATACAAAGGACTTCTAAGTTCAAAAAATGATAGAGCTAGCACCTTGTTATGAAACGTGCCATTGGTGTTTTAAGTTTTGACATATCATTCTAGGTGTGGCGAAAGTGAAGTCATCATTTTCATTTTTTTATATTTCGGTTTTTCATGTTTTCATAAACAAAAATAGGAAAAAAGTTTTAAAATATAACCATTATTTTCATATCACTCTTTGTTTTTTCCTCTTCTTTTTTTTTTTTTTTTTTTTTTTTTTTTTTCTTTTTTTTTTTTAGGTGACGAGCTTTCCAAAATTCAGAAAACAACTTTAAAATGTCACCTAAAAATGAGTACTTTTAAATAATGAAAAAAAAAAAATTTCAAAAGGAGTTTATCAAGTAAGTTTAAAAGTATTGGATCTTTTTTTTTTTTTTTTTGAGCAAAAAATGGCAAAATGAAACGATACCAAATGTGCCAAGTCTCTAGCTGAACTTTGTTGATGTCCTTGATTTTCAAATTAATATTATTTATCTTCTTTTTTTTTTCTTTTTGATTATTAGCTCATTTAATTTTATTATATAAGATTGCAACAACATATGAAAATTGAAGCTGAGACCTTAGCATGCAATTTATATATTTATTTATTTTCATTTCTCTTTTTAATGCAATCGTTAAACATTTTCAAAGATGATTCTGTTTACTAACCTTCTTTTGCTACTATGGCAACTATGCTTTTGGATAAATTCTTTAGCACCCTGCCACAAAGAAGATATTCATGATCTCGAGAGAGAGAGAGAGAAAAAAAAAAGAGCAAAAATCATTCACTATCGTATGTGACTAATCTCACCGTTCATTTGTGTAAGTGGAGTATACAAAAATAAACTCGGTGTAATTTTGTCCAATGACATTGAATAGTTGAGAGAGAGAGAGAGAGAGAGGCAATCTTACCCTCCACCACTCCAAGGGTCTCTTAAACCATTAAAGAAGATAATATTGCTCCCAAACCGTTTCAAAGCCATTTTAATGTCCTGTCTCATATAAACAAAATATAATCTTTTAATTTAAGTTAACCACACAATATCTACAAAATGGCTGCCGCAATGTTACATTACATATAGTTATTGATTTTTATTTTTTTTGTCAGGATCAAGGTCTTAAATCATGCTATAAGGACAGGTAGCAGCAGTGATTATTGAAAGTATAGTGTGAAACGTATAAAAAATTGGATGAGACAATCGTGAACTTTTTAAACACCAAAAATATTAAAAAAAATTAAAAATTGTATACTCCTTCAAAAATATAAAATCATACTAAAAAAGGTGAGTTTTATTTTTAATTTTTTCCACCTTTTTTGAATTTTTTAAAAAAATAAACAATATTTTTTTTAATTAGCAAATATTAAACAATATGTATGTACGAGTTAGAGCATCTCCAACGATTCACCAAATTTTTCATCAAATCTGAGTAAAAAAAAGATCATTTTCTCAATCTGATACAGATTGCTCCAATGATTGTCATTAAAGCATGGGTCGACCGGTTAGTGTATTTTTTTTTACCTCTTTGAACCTTTTGACCTCTTTGAACCAACCTATTTGCAAGGGAATCGGTCGACCGGTTGGTTTCCCCCAACGGTCATGCACAGTAAATTGGTGAAATCTTCTCCCTGTTCTCACTTTGATAAAAAATTTAGTGAATTCTCGTTTTGATACTAATTTGATAAAATCATTAGAGCTGTAAAAAATGACTTTTTCACTAAATTTCAAATCTGATACAAAACTTGGTGAAGCGTTGAAAATAGTCTTAGTGATAGACTTACATGGAAGCCAAACTCGGTAGTAATCCAAGTGGGCCTTGGCTCAATATTGAAGATTTGTTGGCAAACACTGACTCTATCACTATAGTTCCACGTTGAGGCTGGAAATATACTCTCCTCATTGTTACCATCTGTTGGCATTATCATTTCCGTACAAGCCTGCAACAAATTTCACAACCACTTATTTTAGTTAATTTTTTAATTATTTTATAAAAATATGTGTAAAAAAATAAAAATAATGTAACAACTTGTATTAAGCTTTTATTTTTTTTTTTAACTTTTTGATTACTTTAACTTTTTGACAAACGAGACCTTATTCTCACAACTTTACTAGTATAACATTTTATTTTTCAAAGATTGTCAATTTTATTTTTGAAAAAAGAAATTATTTGTTTTTCTTTACACAGAGGAAAAGGATAGAAGGGGTCAAGCACCGCATGACAACCCTTCCCAACTAAGGCCATGTCTGATAAGCCACGTAAATTAAAATACATTTGGAGCTTATATAAAATCCATATATATTTTTTTTTTTTATGTCAGTTAAACGGTTAAATAGCTTTAAATGTACTTTAAAATTTTGATTAGACAAAATTTTATTTCATTAATGCGTGCACTGAGATATTAGTACATATATATAACACAACTTATAAATGATATTATAATTAAGAGGCTTGACTATTTTTTTTTATAAATCTAAATTATTCATTTATATAATTTTTAATAAATATAAATCATTCATTTGTGTGGGAATAATTTTTCCTAACTTTTGCTGAATTAACTACATTGTATTTGGTACCAAGAGCATTTTCAATAGGATAGCCAAAAAAGTGTTAAAGTGTTATGCGATAAAAGTGATAAAAATGACACCTAATTATGTATGTGTTAAGTATTTTTTAAGTTAAAGAGTGAGTTGGTGCTCCAAAAATGTATACTAATTGGATGGCCACGATTAGCACACCATATAGCTAATTTTAAACTTTAACTAATGCATTGGAAAACAAACAAACAAACAAACAGAGTTGACAGTAATGGGCTCACGACTACCCAATTGAAGATGCTGTACAACGAGTTCAATAAAAATCCATAGTGTCAGCAATTACAGAACATATATATATACATATATTTATTTACTTATTGTCTCCAATGGGCTTGCTAGTTTGTTTGTTAGTTAGCTCATTAGTAGTGTTGTTAAATGTGAAGAGCACAATAAAATAAATTATAATCATTTTATTATACATATATAATTATTCCTCACTTTTTATTATTTTGAAATAATTGTTAAAAAAAAATTCAAAGTTTGACCATTCAAGCAAAATAATTCTAATTTTTTTTTATTTATCATTTTAAATGCTAAGTTTTAAATTTATTTTTAATTTAGACCATAGGTTTACTTTCCTTAACTAAAACTAATAGAAAAATAATATTTTAGCTATTATTAAACTTAGGGAGATTTGGTTAAAACCTCCTCATAATAATATTTTAATACATTAAGGATAACCACAAAAGTTTTACTTGAAAAGTCCAACACATACTACTAATACCAAAATATATTTAATGGGTAATTTAATATTTTAAACTTTAAAATAATACAACTTTCGATTTAGATGTCAGTTTTTAATAAAATTAGTAGTTTTAAAATTCTCTCATCAAGATTTATCAAATAAGATCAATGTTGATTATAAAATTCTTAAAAAATAAAAAATAAAAAAATTTACCGTCAAAACTAACATAAACGGTAGCATGTTACTCTGGTTCACGATAATATTTTACTGTTACAAAAAATCAAGTACATACTAGATGAACCAATCAAAAATACACATATACAATATTTTTAAACTTGTATAAAATAAAATAAAATAAAAGTGTTCATTGTCAAAAGTGTTCTATGATATATATATATATATATATATGCATGGGCAACATTGTCCAAGAAATAAAAAAATAAAATTTTACTCTGCCCTTACTTAATTATGCGCCTCCTTCTTAAAGGGTTTATGAAGCCCAATAAATTGGGTTATCTTTTTTGCCAAACAAGAGTCCAATGAAGGGATTTTGGCTAAATTTTTCATAAACTTAATGTAAATATATACATATAAAATATCTAAAATATTTTTTTTCGTTGAGTTTAATTACTACAGTACCATTTTTTTGTTGATTTTATGTAATGAAAATAGACAAATGGTTTAAATTGAAAATAAATCAAATGATTAGAATTTAAATTGATAAAATTAAAAGCTCAAATTTTATTTTGTTACAATAGTCAAACTCTTATTTTATTTTATTTTATTTTATTATAATTTTTCCTATTATTTTTTATCAAATAATACATTTTAGCAAATACGAATTGCCCCGTGGGATTTGAAAAATTACAAATACTCTTTTGTTAGAATTTTTTATTTAACAAAATTAACTGAAAAATGAAATTCCCTGTTCTCATATATAATAATAAAATTATCTGAATTATTAATTGAAATAAATTTATGATATTATTAAAAATTGTTAATTGACATGAATTATTAATAAAATGAGTCATTTGTTATGAAATTACAAATTTCAAAAGACATAATGTAATTTTTAAAATCACAATAAATAATTTATATTTTAAGCAAACATTAGATATGTATTTATAATTTATTCTACAAAAATGTCTCCCATGATTTAGGATATGAAGGAATAATATTAGTAAAAGTAAATTTTGTAATCATTCTTAGGCCTAGCTTTTGTAGGTGAGGCGCATGGTTCATCCCAAGGTTTTAAAAATTGGATCGGGCTGATCGATTGGACCGGTTGAATCGTCGATCGGTCGGGGTTTTAATTCGAGTATACCCTCTAAACAGTTCAAAATAAAACCGACTTATTTTGAAAAAATCGAAAAAATCGGCAGTTAAACCGCTGAGCCGACCGACAGTTCACCAAGTCAATAAAATCATTTTTTTTTCTTTTTTTCCTTTCTTTCTTCTTATTTTATATTATATTATATATATATATATATATAAGAAAATTTTAATTGGAAACTCTCTTTCAAAGGTCTCCTCTTGTGAGGAATCTCATTGAGAGTAGGAGTGTACACGGTCCCAATTGGTTTGGTTCTGAGAAAATCCAAGAACCAAACCGATTCTAACGGTTCTGTGATTTTGAGAACCAGCCCAGACCTTTACACTTGTAAAACCGGACCAGAACCAAACCAAAATAACGGTTCAGTTTCAGTTTGGTTCACGATTCCAAAAATTTCTATTTACAAGAATAAATTGTTAATATTAGCAAAATAATTACTCAAACTAATTACATTTAACTCATGATAAAAACTAATAATATTAAGGCATTACTCAACATTACATATTTATATCATCCTAATATCATTAAAATTACAAAAAACCAATTAATAAAAATAAAACTTGATATATTATATATATTTTTTTAAATTTGGTTCGGTTCAGTTCGAACTGTGATTTTTTCATAAAATCTATTAACCGAACCATTTTTACGGATCTCATATTTCTTAAACCGAAACCAAACCAATTCTTAATAGAATCGAACCAAATCGTACGATTCGGTCTGCTTCGGTCTGAATTACCAATTTGAACGGATTTTTGAACAACCCTAATTGAGAGTTTGAAATTATTGTGAAAGCCTTTACCTATTAGTAAGAAAAAAAATTCTTTCAAAAAAATTCAAGAAATTTATGTGGGATTCAATCAAATTTATTGAAGGGAAACTTAAAATTTTGATATCTCTCCAAAATTTTTGCTTTTCTTTCAATCAAATTATTTGAATTAAAATCATATGGAGAGAATATTGAATATTTGATTTTCTCTTCCAAAATTAAAATTAATAATATTTTAAAATATATTATTATATTTTTTAGTAAAAAAAAAAAAGTATTAGAAGAAATATTTAAGATTATTTAATTTTTTAATTTATAATTTTATTACTTATATTTTTATTTAAATATAATTTTAATATATTTATGACGTCAGGGTTCGATTCCGGTTCAACTCGACGGTGACCCGTCCACCCGATCTTTTTTCTGGTTCACACACCAATCCGATTTTTAAAACATTGGTTCATCCTTGATATCCCCACGTAAACTATAATATTTTAAAGAAAAACATTTGATAAAATATTTAAAATTCCTAACATTACGCTAATTTAAAATAAATGAACTTGTCTTCTATTGAATGTATATTGAATAGTGTTGTCAAAACTCATTTTGAAGATCTTGTTTGTTTATTTTGTTGGTTCAGAATTTTTTAATTTAATAATTATAATTATATAATTTTATTATGTTTGTGATTGAAAAAATAAACTTTGCTAACAAGTGTTATAGGGTACAAAAAAAAAAGATAAAAACAAGTGTAGAATTCAATGCATTTTTCATTAGTTTTATAGTATTTTTCATTCATTTTAAAATAATTTTTAAACTTTTTCACTATTTTTAAAACAAATTTTACACTAATTCCAATATTAAACAATGCATAGGAACATATGTTGGCATTTGCCTAAAAAATTAATAGCTTAGTTTTAAAATCAATTTTTATTTCCATTTTTAATTAAATTAATCATTTATTTTTTCAAAAAAAAATATTAATTGAACAAATCATATTATCAAGATGGGCGCCACAGTAGATCCCGTAAATTTTGACAACACCATCTCCATCTAATAGAGAATCCTTCATTTTAAAAATATTTTGCACCGATGTAATTGATGTAGATGAGTGGGCTTTAGGGGTGTAAAAATGACCCGCGACCTGTGGGTGGCCCAAAACTCGCTTGCGGCCCGGGATGGACCCGCCCAATTAGGCCCTGGCTCGAGTCTAGCCCAAGACCTTAGGCTTGGGCCGTCATTTTGAAACCCAGCCCAACTTGCCTAGCCCAGTTCGAGACTCGATCCAGTGTCATTTTTTGTGAAAAAAAGAGAAAAAAATAAAAATAAAAATATTCAGGCCCGCCTAAGCCTCGCCCAAGCCTGACCCTAGGCTTAGGACAGCGCAACCTACCCAAGGCTTGAATATTCCCTAGGCCAGGGCCTAATTTTCTGGCTGGTGGCCTGGTCCAGTCCAAATTTTGACGAGAGCCCGCACGGCCTGACATGAGCCGGATTGGACCGAGTCGGGCCAAATTTACACCCCTAAAAGGGCTTAGCGAAGTCTATCACATTGAGTGGAGTTTTTACAATTTTTTTTTTATATGAGATCTATATATTTGGCTGCAACAACCCTATATTGAGTCGAATAATTTTATATGAGACATAATTCAAATATTTGGAATCAAAATAGTTCAAAACTCAAATTTTAAGAATTAAAAATATATGGATAAATTACAAACACACCCTTTGAGATTTAATTAAATTACAAATTACCTCCTATGGTTCTAGAAATTACATTATACCCCCTAAGGTTTTTAATTTCATAACAAATAGGTCCTTTTATTAATAAATCATCAAGTTAATTAATAGATTTTAATAATGTTAAAATTTTATTTCAATTAATAAGTCAAATAATTTTATTATTATATAGGTGAACAGTTAAAAATTTCACCTTTTCAATTAATTCTGTTAAATAAAATTTTTTGACAGGGAGGTAGTTGTAATCTTCCAAACCACAAAGAACAATTCGTATTTTAAGCAAACCTTAAGAGGTATATTTGTAATTTACCCAAAATATAATTAACCTTTGTTTTTAAGAATGAGTCATGACACCGACCATGGGTCTTGTTTCGATAATTTAAATTATTTATTTTATAGGGTGCTCAATGTATATCATTTATGATAAAAATAAATTATTTTATTTTATTGTGGTTATCTTTAAAAAATAAATAATTTATTTTCAAAAATAAATTTATCATTTATTTTTTTAAAGACAGATATAATAAAATAAAAAAATTAAGATTATCAAATTGAATTAATTGTTTCACAAATAATATATATTGACAACTTTATAAAATAAATACCGTCAAAATAAGACTCATATCAAGTTGACGGTTCTTCAAATTCTTCCATATTAAAATGTAAACACCAGAAAAGCACAACTCTATTTTTTAAGATAAGATTAATGATAAAAAAATGATAGGGTACCTGCCAGTTCCACCCACCAAGACCATGGGGATCAGAATTGTCGGCCAGATCAAAACACTGGCCTGCTTCCCCAGTATAGTTATAGTAGACCACAGCTGCTCCATATAACTTCCCAAATGTGTCATTCCCTGTGGTTGGATCATCAATTGACTTGCACATCTGCACAGTTACGTTTTTCAGACAAAATAATTCTCAAAAAAATATATATATATATATTTGGTGTTTTATTTTTATTAAATTGTCTTTTATTGTTTAAAAAAAATGAAAAATCATCCAAACAATACCCACCATTTAAAAAGACAAATAAATTGACTTGTAGACAAATGCAAAAAAAAGAATAGACTTCAAAAAGTTTGTGAAACCTGACACATGCCCTATTTTGATTATTCAATCTTATTCTGGACAAAACTCCCAATTTTCTATTTTGATTAGTCAATTTCATTCTTGACAAAACTCTCAATTGTAACGTCAATCTTGAACTCATTTTCTTACTTTGAAAATCACATTTGGACATTTCAATAATTTCTAATCACCTAATCACAAACTTCAATAATATCGTCCATTAAGAAAATAATTTTTTTTTCTTTTTTTTTAAACAATTTCCAATCGCTTTATGTTGGAATTCTAATCCCCTTGTTGGTTATTTAATGGGTAAATTACAAACACACCCTTAAAAAAAACCTTAAGGCCATGTTTGTTTAGGCGGACTGGATTAGCATTCCCATGACTAATAGTCCTAAGACTACGAATCCGTTGGATTATATATCCTATCTTAACTAATAGCCAAGTTTAAAATAATTAATCCGTATTTCAATTGTTTAACCAAACATCGGATTAATAATTTTATTGGACTATTAGTCCAATCCCAACCTCATGTCCATCCAAACAAACATGACCTAAGAGTTATAGATTAATTAATAAGGAGGTTAAGAAAGTAATGAGAGAGACTAAGTTGAAAGTTTATGATAACCTATACACTAGACTGGATAGCAATGAGAGAGAGAAGAGGGTATACAAATTTACTAGGATACAAGAGAAGAAAACAAGAGATTTTAATCAAGTTAAATGCATCAAGTGTGAAGATTCCAAGATATTGGTGAATGATGAAGAGATTAAGGAAAGATGGAAGAATTATTTTGAGAAACTATTAAATGAGGAGCATGGAGATACGGCAATAAGAGAAGAAATAGCTAGTAATACAATAAATCAAGACCATAGGTTCTATCGCAAGATTATGAACTTTGAAGTGAAGATTGAACTTAAGAAGATGAAATCAAATAAGACTTTAAAACCCGATGACATCCCTATTGAAACTTGGAAGTGTTTGGATAAAAAAGAAGTTGCTTGGTTGACTAGGTTGTTTAGCAAAATTTTGTTGACTAGGAACATGTCAGATGAGTAGAGGAAGAGTATTTTAGTGCCAATCTATAAAAATAAATGAGATGTTCAAAATTGTAACAACTATAAAGAAACCAAGCTAATGTGTCATATAATGAAAGTGCGGGAGAGGGTGATAGAACGCTGATTGCGAGATATAACAGAGATGTCAGATAATCAATTTGGATTTATGCTTGGCAGGTTAACACTAGAAACGATCTATCTTTTGAGGAGAGTAATAGAAAAGTATAGAGAAAAGAAAAGAGACATTCATATAGTGTTTATCGACCTTAAGAAAGCATATGATAAAGTGCCCCGAGATATAATATGGTGGGTGTTAGAGAAGAAATGAGTGACAAAAGGCTACATTGATGTGATTAGAGATATGCATGAATGAGTGATGACCACTATTAGATCGCCTACTGGAGAGACAAATGAATTTCCTATCACTGTAGGGTTACACCAAAGATCTACCTTAAATCCTTATCTTTTTGCTTTAGTTATGGATGAGTTGACGAGAAATATTCAGGATGACGTACCATGGTATATGCTTTTTGCAGACGATATCGTACTAGTAGATGAAATTAGAGAATGAGTTAACACAAAGTTGGAGATTTGAAGAAAAACTCTTGAATCTAAAGGATTCCGGATAAGTAAAACTAAGACAGAGTACATGAAGTGTAAATTTAGTAACAGTTACAATGAAAGCAGAATAGAAGTGAAGATTAAGAACCAAGAACTACTTAAGAGTGAACATTTTCGTTATTTAAGGTCGATTATCACAACAGTGGAAGAGATTGATATGGATGTAGCCCCTAAGATTAAGGCGAGATGGTGTAAGTGGATAAGTGTGTTTGGGGTACTGTACGATAAACGAATACCCATTAGACCAAAAGATAAGTTTTATAAAACGGTTATTAGACCAACGATATTGTATGAGACAGAATGTTGGGTAACCAAGAAACAACATGTAAATAAGATGAGTGTGGCTGAGATGAGGATGCTAAGGTGAGGATGTGTGGCAAGACTAGACAAGATAAAATTAGGAATGAGTGTATTCAGCAATGGGTAGGAGTAGTACCGACAAAAGATAAGTTGAGAGAGAATCGATTAAGATGGTTTGGTCATATTCAATGAAGACCAACAGAGATAGTAGTGAAGAGATGCGATGTTGTAACGGTAGATGGAAGTGTTAGGGAACGAGATAGGCTTAGATTAACGTTGGCTAGCATTGTAAATAAAAATATGAATCTACTTAATTTGACTAATGAAATGGTCTTTGATAGGGCCGCTTGGAGAAGAAGAATTCATGTAGCCGACCCTATTTGATGGGGCTTAAGGCTTAGTTTGGTTTGGTTTATAAGAGAACAGTTAGAATTTTTACTTTTTCAATTAATTATGTTAAATAAAAAATTCTGATAGGAAAGTATTTATAATTTTCCAAACTACATGAAATAATTCGTATTTTAAATAAACCTCAAGAGGTATATTTATAATTTAGCCTTATTTAATCCTCTGTTATAGGATGGTTGCCCTGTTCTGTTTTGATTTCCTTTATTAATATCATTCTACTATTTGGCCCAAAACTAAAAATAATAATTATAGTACATTTTTGCCATCTTAAAGCTAGTTCCCTCTCTCTTTCTCTCTCTCTTCATTAATCAAAATATTCCCAACGAAGGGTAAATTATTTTGGACAAATAGCAACATTAGTTTGTCTTTTGTATTAATGTGATCATTTTACATATAATTGCATCAATTTTATTCTAAATTTTTTACATTATAGTCCAATTGATTGTGTTTTTTTAGAATTTAGACGATACTAGAGAGTAAAATAATCCATTCATTATTTTAAAACTAATTGAGGGGGTTAAGGTTCAAATTTTTTTTAGATGGGATTAAGGTTCAATTTAAAATGGTTCATTTCCTTTTCGAATTGATTGTTTTGCTATTGATTTTTATTTATTTATTTATTTTTTTGAATGGATGTTCTCAATTGGACTATTGACACAACATAAAAAGATAAAGGGTGAAACTAATATAATTGAAAATATAAAGATCAAATACCTGTTTGATTGGGTAAGCTGGCATAGGATTAAGAAAATTGGAAGGAGTTGGATAATCTGTCATGGCCGTGTAAATATATGCAGTTTGAAGCCAACCCTCAAGAGACGATGCACTAATATAGTTCCTGTGAAAAAATAACAAATATATAAATATCAAATATTTTGCCAATCTTTTTTAAGATAGGAAAGCTAAATCATTTAGAAAAATTTATTAGATAATCCTACAAAGAATTAATAAAGTTCTTACTCGCATATTCTGAATGATTTTCGAAGTACCTCAAGGCCCCCAGGTTGGTTGGCAATGTCTTCAATTTGCTGCCATGATCCTTTGATCACTTTATAACAGTTTTCACTCTCACTCTAGATTTTTCACATAGAAACAACGAAATAATAATAATTAAATAATTACATGCTAAAAAAACTTGCATTTAGATTTTTGATTTTATATACATATATATCGGAAATTATTAACAAATTATTGGTTTATTATTAATGATGCCAGACCGCATTGTTGGACTCAAGTAAGACTTCATTGTCATCCATTTAATAAAGAAAATGATTGATGGAAACATAATTTACATTTAGAATAAATTTTTGAAAATTATGCTTTAGTATATTTAATATGATATTTTACACAATACTGATCATATTATTCATTGTGTCCCGTCTAACACAAGCGATTAGTATGCCAAATGTCATATAAATAATATTTAAAGATAAGTAAATTGTACTGATATCTCTTGAGATTTAGAGAAAATATAAAAAGTTTAACAATTTTGACATAATTACACTGATCTTCATTTTAAAAAAGTTGGAAGAGACTAAAACTAATACAGATAATATGAAGACAATAAATTATACAAAATAAAATATACATTTCAATATAAAAAAGATAATTTTTTTTTTTTTTATACCTACAACTAACAATTTTATGATAAAAAATATATTAAGTGTTATATAAATTAAAATCATATCAGATTGGTCAATGTAATTTTCCTTTAAAGATAATATTCAAATGCATCACTTAAGCATATTTTTTTTAAAAGGGCATGTTTGTGTCCATATGTATGTAATCTTATCCTAAACCTCATCTATACTGATTTATATGTTGAACCAAAAGAGAAAAGAAAAGTAGAGAGAGAGAGAGAGAGAGACCCGGAAGTCTTGAGTGATGATGTTGTTGAAGGCATAGGGAGAAGAAATATTCTCAAACAAGAGGATTGGTGAAGAAGATGACAAAGCTCCAATGGTCACATGTGGGTACTTCAACCTAAACCATGCTGCCAGCACTGTCAAAACCATCGAAACAAATTAAAATAAGTATTATAATGCATAAAAAGTGTCATGAGAAATCCATCCAAACCAATTAAATAAATATTATAATGCATAAAAAGTGTCCTGACAAATTAAAAGAGTATAACTAGAATCTCTCCAAATTCAAACTACTCATTTTAACCTTAATTAACCTATGACCTTGAGTTATACTGGTATGCTCTCTAATCCCCGTAGAAGTGGTTGTGAGTTCAAATCTCACGTGGACATTTGGGGCTGTCCCCTTCCTCTTTTCCCTTAGATCTAGATTAGTATAGGTCTCACCGAGTGAAAAAATAAAAATAATAATAATAATAATAATCTTAAAACAATTCTTTTATATACACAAAATAAAATATAATTCTTTTATATGAGATGGGATTCACACATTTATGGTGTGTTTGGTTGGGGGATTTGGAGAGGGATTTGGAAAGGGAAAGGGAAAAGGTGTGTGAAACTATGTGAAATATAAGCATGATTTAAAAAAATAAAAATAATAATAATAATAATAATCTTAAAACAATTCTTTTATATACACAAAGATGGGATTCACACATTTAGTGAGTTCACTCCTATGAAAAGATTATATTCGATTCTGTAATCGGATTCTTGTTTATTTAGATTTTTATTTAGCTAAACAAATAAAAATAGCTAAAAAATTTAGTCACGGATATTTCCAAAAAGACATGTACAAAAGGAGGAGAGTGATGGAGAGAGAACACAGACTTCCTCCATAGGAACCTCCAAAGACCACCACAGGAGAGTCAGTTGCTGACAAATTCTTCTTAAGATCAATGATAAGGGTTGCATAATCTGCCAATGCCTGTGTTGAGCTCAGATACCCAAGTGTACTTGAATTCTTGTATGCTATATTTTTATCACCCCCAAAAGGCATAGATTGTCCATAGAACCTATGCTGCAATATTCATATTTCCCAAACCATGAAAAAATTAAAATTAATTCTCTCGACTTCGGTTTCTTAACATGTTTTCTAAACTTAATTTCAATTTGTGTATGATTTTAAGCTCTAATATTTGAATTGTGTGTACTAAAGTGGTTCACATGGCTACATCATCAGTATTAGTTATCAAAACAGGGATATTTTTAGAAGAAAAAAACACACTTAAGCAAAAGAGGATCAATCATATTTTAGACGGCACAAATATGTGTTTTGTGTTTTTTTTTTTTTTTTTGAATATTTATATTATGTTAATTTGTAAAGGGCTCTTTTTTTTTCCTTTTTTTTTTTTTCGATGTGTAATTTTTTGTATAAAAAATAACTCTCATACTGACCGCACCATCCATTGAACCACTTTAAAACACAATTTGCATACTCTGGGAACTAAATTGATACAGTCGAAATATTAAAGACTAAAATGACAAAGTGTACATACTTAAGGAACTAGAAGTCTAATTAGCCCTTGTTTTTTCACTAAACCTGTTTGGTTGCCTAGAAATTTGATTACCACCGAAAAAGAAAACAAAAGAAAAGTTTTTCAAAAGGTGGTTGTGACATTTTGAATTCCCACCCTTCTCTGCTAACCAAAACCAACCATGTACCTGATGATTAAACACAAAAGAAATTAATTAATTACCTCAATGAAGATTAGAAGAGCTCTGAAACTCGGCGCAGTCTCGAACATGAACCCTGTGTTCTGAGCAAACCACTCAATCTCTCCTTCATTCCCAGTGTAGACGAAGATGGGAGCATCGTTCTTGGCACCACCCCAGTAGGTATCATTGATCAAATACCTTTGTTGGAATGTGTCATAGCTTTGTGGATTGTAATTGAAGTGATCAAGTGTTTGTGTGAAAAACATGGATTCGTATAGCCCTTTTTGATCATTAGTGGAAACAGAGAGCTGTTCTGGCCGATTAATGATCGAAGAAGGAAACCTTGGTGTAATGATTTTGGCAAATGAGAATGTAGTGAAGAGTGAAAACCATAGTAATGTGAATTTAATTTCCATTGTTTTCACGTATTGGTTGTTCTGTACTTTGCAGAGAAATATGGAGAGAGAGAGAGAGAGAGAGAGAGAGAGAGAGGAGTCTCCAAAGTCTACAACTTGTATGGAATGAAATACAAAGGAGAGGAGGGTGTGGGGTGTCTAGTTGAAGTTAATAATGACTTATTTTGTTGTTTTTGTTGGATTATTGATTATGGAGTCATCATGCACCGAGAAGTTATTCCATGCTCTAACCGCATGGCCACATTGTGCTCAAAATCAATTGGATCATTGAAAAAATTAGAATTCATGAATTTGTGTTGGTGATTGAGCAATCAACAGGAGGAGATGGTGATATGTAGTGATTGATTTATAACATAATCACTTGGTGCCTCATGGGTATCGAATAATTTTTTTTATAGACCACAAGCTGGAGGATGATTAAAAAAAGTTGTTTGTGATTGTGTCCATCAAGCTCAGATCGGACATGGCTAGGCTAAGTAATCAATGATGTCATGACATGTTATCCTCAAACAATAAAATAAAATTTATATTAAAAAAAAAACATAGATTTTGTTTTTTTATTTATGTCGATAGATATAGGTGTTAGAGAAAATTATAGCAATAATGAAAATATATTGATAAGCACTTGAATTGACGTCTGGAATCAAGTTGATTAAAAATGCCTCGGATCCAAAGGCTAAGATCAATGAAAAAGTATTAGTTGGTCTACGGATATTACGTGACTGTCTCTAATCATATATTTTTATATTCTCTCATACTCTCCAATTACTTAACGTAAAATTATAAATCTTACTCTTTCATCAATCACAATACATATAAAATATCACATAATGCTATTCCTACACCAACCAATGACTTCTCAAGGTCAATTCAGCCTTCATAATGGTAAGAAAATCAATTAGTCTCTAAAAAGAATGGATTCTCTCTGTTTTGGATTGGACGATGTTAATCCAGTCTATCTATGAGATCCATCATGAGTTTTAATTAACTATACCATCTATTCATTTTGTAAATTTTTTATCTACATTATTTATTAAAAAAAAGAAAGAAAAAAAAAATATTAACCTGATAATTGTAGGCATAATTTTATGATGTCTGCTCTGCCTATGAATAAATAGACAGTTTAATTTTTAAGCCATTTTTATCATTCATTTTTTAAAAATAAATAGAATAAAATCACAAGGATGTAATAATAGGATTTGTTAGAAATTAGGTTAGGTTTAGAACTCATTAGATTGCCCATAATGACATGACCCCTAGATTCATTTTGGATTAACTTATCGCGAGATAAGTGAGTATAAATAGTCTAGCTCTTTGGCTTTTTCGCTATTTTGGTTTGGCTTTTTTAGTCTCGTTTGGTTTTTATTTTTGGCTTTTTTGATTTTTGTAAGAGAAAAAGTATAACGATTATGGTTTGGATGTAACATTTTGTCTTATTGGCTTATGTAGTCACTTTTGTCTTTTCTGCTTTTCTAGCCAAAAAGCCAAAACTAAACATAGCTTTACTATTCCATCTTTTGAGGAGATAGAGTTGTAAGTGATTATAAACTCTCCTACATAATATATGTATTATATTTGGGAGAATAAGATTTTAATTATATGGGTAATCAATATCTGTTTTCTCTCTCTCCTTTCTCCTTCCATAGAAACACAGAAACCTTTGTACTGTGAAATATTATATTTTGGGAGAATAAGATTTTAATCGTATGAATAATCAATATTTGCTTTTTCTCTTTCTCCTTTCTCCCTCAATAAAAACATAGAAACCTTTTTGTACTGTGAATAGTGTGTAGTTGTGAATAGTGTGTAGTTGAGTAGTAGTTCTACCTGCTGTTGAAAATTGTTCAAGTTCATCAATGGAAATATGTGATTTATTCATATGATCATTTGATTCAGTTTGAATACAAAAAGTATGCATGAATCCTTCATACAAGATCAATTTAATTTTTTTTATAAATAATTTACTAATATAAACTTAAAAAATAAATAAATTAAATTATCAAAATATAATCTATGGTGAAACCTATATTCCCAAACCAAATAGACCCATCATAATTTATCAAACAAAATGATTATTTTTTTTTTTTTTTTTTTTTTTTAAGCCCACTCCTGGCGTTTCTACTACCAACCAAAGCCAACCCACACAATGACACACACACCAATGGCCACACCCACAACACTCAAGCATTGAAATAATATAATTTTTATATATTTTATATTTTTTTTATAAAGGCCACTGCTTTATTGACTTCAAAGAGGAACTGAAACCAAGATACAGGTCAGATTTTTTTGGGAAAACCTTAGCAATGCTATAGATTTTAATTTTATTTAACAATATTAAAGCGTAATTCAAATTTATTATGTACATGAACTCTATAATACATTAATTAAATCACAATCATGTGTTTACCATTTTTTTTAATAAATAACTTTTTTAAATATATTTTTTTCTTTAGTTACGACGGAAACAACTATATATGTTCTCTGATATGTTGTGCATTACCAAGGATTGCATCACCTTGTAGGGGAGGGGGGACCAAGTTTAAGTCGTTTTACTGTTCCTATTGGCTTTTCGCCCAATTTTAGTTTTCAATTATGAGATTGATTCAGATGTTTGGCTCCTACATAAAGTAAAGTTTGGTTTCCAATGAATTTTGTCATGTCAGTCCAAGCTGTAGAATTGAAAACATTGCACCTACAGACTTGTCTTATTTTTTTTTTTAGGTACAAGCACCTACAGACTTGTCAAAATTAACTTCTTGCCAAGTTTCAGCAATCAAACTTTATTTACTTATTTTGCCAATATAAAAATAATTAATAATGCATATCTAGAAGCTCAATAATTATTATAAAAAAAACCACATGAAGAAGAAATAATCAGATTGTATTAAACTCTTTTCTATAAAATTTAAATCTACAATTACATACTACATAATGATGATACTACATAATCACCAAGTCAAAAACCCTACTTTAACAATCAAACTCACATGCTTAATTTTAAAATCAATTTAAAATTAATATTTTAGTGATATTAAATTATTTTTCTACAATGATATATAGCCCCGAAAGCTACTAATTACCTTAATCGGTAAAATCTCTTAGGCTTTGTTTGGGAAGTGGGTTGACTTTTTAGTTTTTTTATTTTTTTGACTATTTTAACTTGGGCTAAAAAGCTTGGTTTGGGAAGGCTTTTTGACTTTTTGGCTTTTTTGACTTTTTTTGTGAGAGAACAATGTAATAATTATGGACTGGATGTGATATTTTGTTTGTTGTGGTTAAAATAAACTATTTTGTCTTTTGTAACTATTTTAAAAAAATCCAAAAAACCTCTTCCCAAACAGAGGATTAACCTTATCAGCATGGCAAAGTGTTACCTTTGTTTGTACAACCCATTAACATAATTGGATCCAAAAGATGAATGAAAGAATAAAAAAATTATTGCTCCTTTATATATGGTAATATATTCCCTCGTGATGATCTCATTTGTAATGATAGACTGCAAACTTTTTTATTATTATTATTTTTTTCAATCCGTAAAAATTACTTATAAGAGCAACTCTAATCATATTTTTTTATTTTGTATTAATTTAAAATATAAAAAATATAATTTTTTATTTTTTTTATTTATATACTCCAACACTAATCTTTATTTTATCAATCTATAAACACAAATTGTTTAAATAGCATCTCAAAGCTCTTTCAAATGTAGTTAGCCTTTAAATTTTTTGTTAAAATAACTATGGTAATAGTTAGTCCATTGAAGTAACTAAAATATAATAATGCTATTACAATAATTAACAGACCTCGTTTAAAATGCCCCTTGAAAATGCTCACGAATCTTTTATATCAACTGAATAATTTGAGAAGAAAAAAATATCAAACTGCTCTTTATAAGATTTGAATTTACCACTCCACACCAAAAAATAGTACTACACAACCATTAAACAAAAAACTTGGTCATCTTCTTCGCATTTGCAGGCATTTGGCTTTTTATATGAAATGTGTGTAATAGTGTATTGGGCATGTTTGGTTTGGTATAATTTTTAATGAGTTAAAAGTTGATAATTAAAATATAAAATCCAAAATTACTCCTCTTTTAGTTCTTAGATAATTAATTTTTTTTTCAAAATTGATAAGTTATAAATAGAAGTTACATTAAATAATCTAACACGGATTCTTAAAACAAAAACACAAACCACAAAAAAATATATATATATATATATATATAAACGGTCTGGCTTTGGCCTAGTCCACCATCGGACTGGACCGTGCTGTTGGGCCTGTGAGGGCCTACCACAAGTCCCGTTTTGAAAATCTGAACCGTTCAATGTGTAGAACTCTTCGAGGACTATATGCCTGTAAAAAATCACATTGATCGGATATCGATAGCTATGTAATCAAATCAGTTTTTTATCAACCGTTAATTTATTCACCGTCCATTTTTTTTATACAAAATTGATTTGATCACATAACTATCGATATCCGATCAATGTAATTTTTTACATGCATATAGTATTCGAAGAGTTCTACATATTGAACGGTTCAGATTTTCAAAATAAAACCCGTAGTGAGTCTCTACAAACCCAATAGCACAATCTAATCCGATAATGGACCGGATCAAAGCGAGACCTATAGATAAAACAGTACCATTAAGAACGATTTTTTCAACATGAATGTGTGAAATCTTTATGGCGCACACACCGTGCACAAGGTTAGTTACTTTTATCTTTTGCAATGACCAACGGAATCCGCCAAATCAAATAACAAGTTGTCAATTCTTTTTGTTATAATATGGGAAAATAACACAACATGATTATGTTTTTAAAAAATATTAATAAACCCTGACATTTAATTAAATTAACAAAAAAAATTGTACATATTAATAATTAAATTTATAATTTTTTTCATAAATTTATATTTTTTTTTCCTGACTTCATTGATATTTAATAACAACTTATAATATTTGCATGACAGTAATTATGTGAATCCCTTCATCAATGGAATCTAAATCTAATTGTTCAATTTAACATTTGAAAAATGAATGAGTCAACAAAGTGGTCACACTTATATATAGAATTGTGGGGACATATTTTGTGAGTAGCAACACG